ACATCCATCGATCTACCGTTCCAGCGATCTATAGATCCATTGATCTACAGATCCAGCGATCTACCGATCCAGTGATCTACCGATCCAGCTATCTATACATCCAGCGATCTACCGATCCATCGATTTACAGATCCAGCGATCTACCGATCCAGCTATCAATACATCCATCGATCTACCGTTCCAGCGATCTATAGATCCATTGATCTACAGATCCAGCGATCTACCGATCCAGTGATCTACCGATCCAGCTATCTATACATCCATCGAACTACCGATCCAGCGATCTATAGATCCATCGAACTAACGATCCAGCGATCTACTGATCCAGCGATCTATAGATCCATCGATCTACAGATCCATAGATCTACCGATCCAGCGATCTATAGATCCATCGATCTACCGATCCAGCGATCTACCGATGCAGCAATCTACCGATCCAGCGATCTACAGATCCAGAGATCTACCGATCCAGCTATCTATACATCCATCGATCTACCGATCCAGCGATATATAGATCCATCGATATACAAATCCAGCGATCTACCGATCCAGCGATCTACAGGTCCAGCGATCTACAGATCCAGCGATCTACCGATCCAGCGATCTACAGATCCAGCAACCTACCGATCCAGCGATCTATAGATCAGTCGATCTACCCATCCATCGATCTACCGATCCATCAATCTACATATCCAGCGATCTACCGAGCCAGCGATCTATGGATCCATTGATCTACCGATCCAGCGATCTACAGATCCAATAATCTACCGATCCAGCGATCTACCGATCAAGAGATCTACAAATAAAGCGATTTCCGATCCAGCGATCTACAGATCCAGCAATCTAGAGATTCAGAGATCTACCGATGAAGCGATCTGCCGATCCAGCGATCTACCGATCAGGGGATCTACCGATCCAGGAATCTACCGATCCAGCGATCTACAGATCCAGCGATCTACAGATCCAGAGATCTACCAATCCAGCGATCTACACATCCAGCGATCTGCCGATCCAGCTATCTATACATCCATCGATCTACCGATCCAGCGATCTATAGATCTATCGATCTACAGATCCAGCGATCTACCGATCCCGTGATCTACAGGTCCAGCAATCTACAGATCCTGCGATCTAGCGATCCAGCGATCTACAGATCCAGCAACCTACCGATCCAACGATCTATAGATCCATCGATCTACAGATCCAGAGATCTACAGATCCAGCGATCTATCGATCCAAGCGCTCTACAGATCCAGTGATCTACCTATCCAGCGACCTATAGATCAATTGATCTAAAGATCCAGCGATCTACCGATCCGACGATCTATAGATCTATAGATCCATGGATCTACCGATCCAGCGATCTACCGATCCAGCGATCTACAGACCCATCGATATCCAGATCCAGTGATCTACTGATCCATCTATCTACAGACCCAGCGATCTACAGCTCCTTCGAATAACAGATCCAGGGATCTACAGATCCAGCCATCTACCGATTCAACGATCTACAGATCCAACGATCTACCGATCCAGCTATCTATACATCCATCGATCTACTGATCCAGCAATCTATAGTTCCAGCGTTCTTCAGATCCAGCGATCTGCCGATCCAGCTATCTATATATCCATCGATCTACCGATCCAGCGATCTATAGATTCATCGATCTACAGATCCAGCGATCTACAGATCCAGCGATCTACAGATCCAGCGATCTACAGATCCAGCGATCTACAGGTCCAGCGATCTACAGATCCAGCGATCTAAAGATCCAGCGATCTAAAGATCCAGCGATCTAAAGATCCAGCGATCTACCGATCCAGCAATCTATAGATCCATCGATCTACCGATCCAGCGATCTACAGATCCAGTGATGTACGTATCCAGTGATCTATAGATCAATAGATCTACCGATCCAGCGATCTACAGATCCAGCGATCTACCGATCCAGCGATCTATAGATCCAGGAATCTACCGATCGAGTGATCTACAGATCCAGTGATTCACAGATCTAGCAATCGACCGCTCAAGCGATCTATAGATTCATCGATCTACAGATCCAGCGATCTAATGATCCAGCGATCTACAGATCTAGCGATCTGCCGATCCAGCTATCTATACATCTATCGATCTACCGATCCAGCGATCTATAGATCCATCGATCTACAGATCCAGTGATCTACCGATCCAGCGATCTACAGATCCAGCGATCTATCGATCCAGCGATCTATAGATCCATCGATCTACCGATCAAGCGATCTACAAATCCAGCGATTTACAGATCCAGCGATCTACAGATTCAGCGATGTACCGATCCAGCGATCTATAGATGCATCGATCTACCGATCCAGCGATGTACCGATCCAGCGATCTACCGATCCAGCGATCTATATATCCATCGAATTACCGATCTAGCGATCTACAGATCCAGAGATCTCCCGATTAAGCGATGTACCGATCCAGCGATCTACAGATCCAGCGATCTGCAGATTCAGAGATCTACCGATAAAGCGATCTACCGATCCAGCGATCTACAGATCAATTAATCTCCAGATCCAGCGACCTACAGATCCAGCAACCTACCGATCTAGCGATCTAGCAATCCAGCGATATACAGATCTATAGATTTACAGATCCAGCGATCTATAGGTCCAGCGATTTATCGATCCAGCGATCTACAGACCCACTGATTTGCAGATCCAGTGATCTACCGATCCATCTATGTACAGACCCAGCGATCTACAGCTCCATTGATTTACAGATCCAGCGATCTACAGATAGATTGATTTACCGATCTAACGATCTACAGATCCAACGATCTACCGATCCAGCTATCTATAGATGCATCGATCTACCGATCCAGCGATCTATAGATCCATCGATCTACAGATCCAGCGATCTAATGATCCAGCGATCTACAGATCCAGTGATCTGCCGATCCAGCTATCTATACATCTATCGATCTACCGATCCAGCGATCTATAGATCCATCGATCTACAGATCCAGTGATCTACCGATCCAGCGAGCTGCAGGTTCAGCGATCTACAGATCCAGCGATCTACCGATCCAGCGATCTACAGATCCAGCGATCTATAGATCCATCGATCTACCGATCAAGCGATCTACAAATCCAACGATGTACAGATCCAGCGATCTACAAATCCAGCGATTTACAGATCCAGCGATCTACAGATCCAGCGATGTACCGATCCAGCGATCTATAGATCCATCGATCTACCCATCCAGCGATCTACCGATCCAGCGATCTATATATCCATCGAACTACCGATCTAGCGATCTACAGATCCAGAGATCTCCCGATCCAGCGATCTACAGATCCAGCAACCTACCGATCCAGCGATCTATAGATCCATCGATCTACCGATCCATCGATCTACCGATCCATCAATCTACATATCCAGCGATCTACCGAGCCAGCGATCTATGGATCCATTGATCTACCGATCCAGCGATCTTCAGATCCAATAATCTACCGATAGAGCGATCTACCGATCGAGAGATCTACAAATTAAGCGATTTCCGATCAAGCGATCTACAGATCCAGGAATCTAGGGATTCAGAGATCTACCGATGAAGCGATCTGCCGATTCAGCGATCTACCGATCCAGGGATCTACCGATCCAGGAATCTACCGATCCAGCGATCTACAGATCCAGCGATCTACAGATCCAGAGATCTACAGATCCAGCGATCTACAGATCCAGCGATCTACCGATCCAGCGATCTACCGATCCAGCGATCTACAGATCCAGCGATCTACCGATCCAGCAATCTATAGATCCATCGATCTACCGATCCAGCGATATACAGATCCAGTGATGTACCTATCCAGCGATCTATAGATCAATTGATCTACCGATCCAGCGATCTACAGATCCAGCGATCTATTGATCCAGCGATCTATAGATCCAGGAATCTACCGATCGAGTGATCCACAGATCCAGTAATTTACAGATCTAGCAATCTCTCGATCCAGCGATCTATAGATCCATCGATCTACAGATCCAGCGATCTACCGATCCAGCGATCTACCGATCCAGCGATCTACAGATCCAACGATCTACCGATTCAGCAATTTATAGATCCATCGATCTACCGATCCAGCGATCTACAGATCCAGTGATGTACGTATCCAGCGATCTATAGATCAATTGATCTACCGATCCAGCGATCTACAGATCCAGCGATCTACCGATCCAGCGATCTATAGATCCAGGAATCTACCGATCGAGTGATCTACAGATCCAGTAATTTACAGATCTAGCAATCTACCGATCCAGCGATCTATAGATCCATCGATCTAATGATCCAGGGATCTACAGATCCAGCGATCTGCCGATCCAGCTATCTATACATCTATCGATCTACCGATCCAGCTATCTATATATCCATCGATCTACAGATCCAGCGATCTACCGATCCAGCGATCTACCGATCCAGCGATCTACAGATCCAACGATCTACCGATTCAGCAATTTATAGATCCATCGATCTACCGATCCAGCGATCTACAGATCCAGTGATGTACGTATCCAGCGATCTATAGATCAATTGATCTACCGATCCAGCGATCTACAGATCCAGCGATCTACCGATCCAGCGATCTATAGATCCAGGAATCTACCGATCGAGTGATCTACAGATCCAGTAATTTACAGATCTAGCAATCTACCGATCCAGCGATCTATAGATCCATCGATCTAATGATCCAGGGATCTACAGATCCAGCGATCTGCCGATCCAGCTATCTATACATCTATCGATCTACCGATCCAGCTATCTATATATCCATCGATCTACAGATCCAGCGATCTACCGATCCAGCGATCTACCGATCCAGCGATCTACAGATCCAACGATCTACCGATCCAGCAATTTATAGATCCATCGATCTACCGATCCAGCGATCTACAGATCCAGTGATGTACGTATCCAGCGATCTATAGATCAATTGATCTACCGATCCAGCGATCTATAGATCCAGGAATCTACCGATCGAGTGATCTACAGATCCAGTGATTTACAGATCTAGCAATCTACCGATCCAGCGATCTATAGATCCATCGATCTAATGATCCAGGGATCTACAGATCCAGCGATCTGCCGATCCAGCTATCTATGCATCTATCGATCTACCGATCCAGCGATCTATAGATCCATCGATCTACAGATCCAGTGATCTACCGATCCAGCGAGCTGCAGGTCCAGCGATCTATCGATCCAGCGATCTATAGATCCATCGATCTACCGATCAAGCGATCTACAAATCCAGCGATTTACAGATCCAGCGATCTACAGATTCAGCGATGTACCGATCCAGCGATCTATAGATCTATCGATCTACCGATCCAGCGATCTATAGATCCATCGATCTACCGATCCAGCGTTCTACCGATCCAGCGATCTATATATCCATCGAACTACCGATCTAGCGATCTACAGATCCAGAGATCTCCCGATTAAGCGATTGTACCGATCCAGCGATCTACAGATCCAGCGATCTACAGATTCAGAGATCTACCGATAAAGCGATCTACCGATCCAGCGATCTACAGATCCATTAATCTCCAGATCCAGCGACCTACAGATCCAGCAACCTACCGATCTATCGATCTAGCGATCCAGCGATATACAGATCTATAGATTTACAGATCCAGCGATCTATAGGTCCAGCGATTTATCGATCCAGCGATCTACAGACCCATTGATTTGCAGATCCAGTGATCTACCGATCCATCTATGTACAGACCCAGCGATCTAAAGCTCCATCGATTTACAGATCCAGCGATCTACAGATCCAGCAATCTACTGATCCAACGATCTACAGATGTAACGATGTAGGAATCCATCGAGCTAGTGATCCAGCGATCTACAGATCCAGCCATGTACCGATCCAGCGATCTATAGATCCAGCGATCTACGGATCCAGCGATCTACGGATCCAGCGATCTACAGATTAAGCGATCTACCGAGTCTTTTTAGAGACTCTCTTGTCGGTTAAGGAAGGGTCAGATCTGTAGCCGTGTTACATAGATAGAGGCAATAAAGTATTTATGTATGTACTTTTTTAATATTATTGCATGAATACAGATTTGGCCGCCGCATGTCCCATTCAGGAATGATGATAGCAGGTGGCGTTATTCTCTTACTGGTCCTGGCTGTTCCCAAAGGTAAATCATAGTTCTTTATTAAACTGTTTAGACTTCTCTAGACTTATGTACGCTGAACAAACAAACAAACGAAAACAAATAAAGCAAAATGTAATATGCGAAGAGGAAAGTAATAATCTGATCATGAACTCAAGTTAATTATTCATTATACTAATTAACCCGTGAATTGCTACCGTAATGCCGAAGGAGAAGAATATATGAACAATATGTCAAGAGGAAAGCTACAAACTAAACTAAAAACTAATTTTACATTTTATTAGAGTGGTTTTCGTTTGAGTGTCGTAAAACCAAAACCAAAGTAATTACTCTGGCCAATCACATAGGACGCAGACAATACATTGAACCAATCAAAACTCGAAGTAATTACATGTGGCTCACGCAAAGCGCGGGAAAATGCATGCGAGCGCGTCACAATTGGCTTTGGTTTTACTTCTGATTGGATGAAAAGGTGGCGCGAATCTTTTAAGCCAATCGCATCGTGTAGAAAGTGCAAAACCAATTACTTTTCGACACTCAAATGAAAACCGCTCTAATCAGTG